TCTCCATAGAAAAGTTGTCGATAACAACTTTCCAGCATAGAAAAGTTGTCGATAACAACTTTTTGCCATAGAAAAGTTGTCGATAACATCTTTTTGCCATCAGAAAGTTGTCGATAACACCTTTCGTCATAGAAAAGTTGTCGATAACAACTTTTCGTCATAGAAAAGTTGTCGATAACAACTTTTCGTCATAGAAAAGTTGTCGATAACAACTTTTCGTCATAGAAAAGTTGTCGATAACAACTTTTCGTCATAGAAAAGTTGTCGATAACATCTTTTCGTCATAGAAAAGTTGCCGATAACAACTTTTTGCCACAGAAAAGTTGTCGATAACAACTTTTCCGTATAGAGAATCAATCGATAACAACTTTTCTGTATAGAAAAGTAGTCGATAACAACTTTTCCGTACAGAAAAGTTGTCGATAACAACTTTTCCGTACAGAAAAGTTATCGATAACAACTTTTTACCATAGAAAAGTTGTCGATAACAACTTTTTACCATAGAAAAGTTGTCGATAACAACTTTTCTCCATAGAAAAGTTGTCGATAACAACTTTTTGACACAGAAAAGTTGTCGATAACAAATTTTCGGTATAGAAAAGTTACCGATAACAACTTTTTACCATAGAAAAGTTGTCGATAACAACTTTTTACCATAGAAAAGTTGTCGATAACAACTTTTTACCATAGAAAAGTTGTCGATAACAACTTTCCTCCACAGAAAAGTTGTCGATAACAACTTTTTGCCATAGAAAAGTTGTCGATAAGAACTTTCCACCATAGAAAAGTTGTCGATAGCATATTTTCTCCATAGAAAAGTTGTCGATAGCATCTTTTCTCCATAGAAAAGTTGTCGATAACAACTTTTCGCCACGGAAAAGTTTTTGATAACAACTTTGCTCCATATAAAAGTTGTCGATAACAACTTTGCTCCATATAAAAGTTGTCGATAACAACTTTGCTCCATAAAAAATTTCTCGATAACAACTTTTCTCCACAGCAAAGCTGTCGATAACAACCTTTTTGCATATAAAAAATTATTCATAATACTTTTTATCTACTGGAATGTTCTCCATAAAAACTCTTCCCCGATTCTTTGTTTTAAAGTTTAAAAAATCTTTTCATGTGCTACATGAAAGTCACCCCACACCACCTCTCTTCAAGGATAACAACAACAATTTACAATGCTAATAGTTGTAACTATTACATATTGTTTTTGTAATCTCCCCATGTCCTCATGTTATGTGTCAGTACCACAGCTGTCAGAGTCACATTACCAGCAACAACTATTAAAGCTGCAAATTGTGTGGTATTTAAACATTACAAATACTCTTTGTCCTGCTTAGGAAACTATTCTCCCCCTACCGCCTCCTTCTCACAACCCCTCGGGCTTTTATACACACAGTAAATAACAAAACCTCGCATATTTTCTATGAAAAGAATAACGGTTATGTCAACGACATCAGTGTCCATTATGTTCTTATATCATCTATCGCGTTCTCTCTCTCTTTCACTCTCAGAGTCCTCAATATACAGGGAGAAGAGTGTGTGAGTTATTTTCTATACAATATTTTGGCGCCTTTTTTTTAAGTGTTCTCTACAAAGTTTTTTGAATGAGTTGGTGAGTGGTGGTGGTGTAACTGTGTGTGTGTGTGGTGTCATTGTTTGATAGCCTTCCGTTTGTACGTTTGACTTGAAATTTCAATGACTTGTTACAGCTTCAATGTTTCCTGTTCTTTTTTTCTATTGAAAATCAAGGATGAAGACAGGTGATGAAAAGTGAGTTTTTCATTTTTTCATATCAAATTGGAAATTCATGTTGTGTGCGGTTGTGTGCAATACATTGTCCCCGAGAAAAAGTTTTGCGTGGTTTGGGGTTGGCAGACTATCAACTCTCGGCCGCAATAAAGTTAAGTTTAATAACTTAAATAGAGTGGTTGTTTAATTTGTTGGTGAATTTCTTTTAAAGGGAACATTGGAAGATGTTTTCAACCTGGTTTTATTGACAAAACATTTTAACTTTCCATTTTTCAGTTTAAGCCATAAATGCCCACTATGCTTTCTTGTGGAGTCCAGGGCCAATGGAGGAAATATTTTCACTTTCAGCCAGTAAAGAGCCCGATTCTCCAGTTGCAGTATGTATCAAAAAGTGTGTATAGTTTTTTGGGTAAGCAATCAATATCGATTTTTCTCCCACAATACTTCTTTATAGAGATCTGAAGTCAATGGAAGAAATGTTCTCCACAAGATTTCCCTCCTTCTCCAAAGAAACCGAGTCTGTAAGTATAATAGATTCTTCTTAGTATATATCAAAAAAGTGTGGGTCTTTTTTGGGAACGCAAACAATATCGATTTATATTAATTTGTAAGGATTCCGTTTAAGGCGAAGTCTGCCACAATACTTCTTTATAGAGAATTGAAATCAATGGAAGAAATGTTCTCCGCAAGATTTCACTTTAAGCCGTCAAAGAAACCAAATCCGTGAGTATAATACATTTTAAGATAACATTGTCATTAAATTACATATAAATAAAAAATCCAATATATATGTTTATGTTAATTTAGAGTACTTCCAGCTTGGATCAAAATCTTCTACGAAGCCTAACTGTAGAGAAAAAGTTCTAAGGAAAGAAATATTCTTCATCAGATTTCTCTATAATTCACCGAAGATATCAAATATATAAGCTATAAAATATAACAACGAATTTTGGTTTTATAAAAAAAACAAATTTTTAGGTTAATTTGCAGTGTTTTCAATTTGGATAAATATCTCTTACAATCCATCACTTTGGAGAGGTGGTTTCAAAGGAAGAATTTTTCTTCACAAAATTTTATTATAGGTCACCAAAGATTTCAAATCGGCAAATATAATAATTAGCCAGAAAATATTGGTTACAAATTTTGGTATATGAGAAATAACATATTTTTTTGGTTTATTTGCAGTGTTTTCAGTTTGGGGCCAATATCTCCTACAATCCATCCCTTTAAAGATGTGGTTTCAAAGGAAGAAATATTCTTCACAAAATTCCACAATAAGTCACCAAAGATATCAAATCGCTAAGTATAATATATAACTTGAAAATAGTGGTTACAAATTTTAGATATATAAACAATCACATATTTTTAGGTTAATTTACAGGGTTTTCAGTTGGGGGCCAATATCTTCAACAATCCATCATTGTGGGGAAGTGGTATCAAAGGAAGAATTATTCTTTACAAAATTCCAAAATAGGTCACCAAATATATCAAATCGGAAAATATAACATATAACTAGAAAATAGTAATTACAAATTTTAGATATATAAACAATTACATATTTTTAGGTTAATTTGCAGTGTTTTCAGTTTGGGGCAAATATCTCCTACAATCCATCACTGTAGAGAAGTGGTTTCAAAGGAAGAAATATTCTATACAAAATTCCACCATAGGTCACCAAAGATATCAAATCGATAAGTTTAATATATAACGAGAAAATAGTGTTAACAAATTTTAGACATGTAAACAATTGCATATTTTATGTTAATTTGCAGTGTTTTCACTTTGAGGCCAATATCTCCTACAATCCATCAATTTGGAGAAAAGGTCTCAAAGGAAGAAATATTCTTTACAAAATTCCACAAGAAGTCAGCAAAGATATCAAATCGGAAAATATAACATATAACGAGAAAATAGTGTTAACGAATTTTAGATATATAAACATATTTTTAGGTTAATTTGCAGTCAGTTTGGGGCCAATATCTCCTACAATCCATCATTGTGGAGCAGTGGTTTCAAGGGAAGAAATATTCTACACAAAATTCCTCAATAGGTCACCAAAGATATCACATCGGAAAATATAATATATAACAAAAAAATAGTGTTAACGAATTTTAAATATATAAACATATTTTTACCTTAATTTGCATTGCTTTTAGTTTGGGGCCAATATCTCCTACAATCCATCATTGTGGAGAAGTGGTTTCAAAGGAAGAAATATTCAATACAAAATTCCACCATAGGTCACCAAAGATATCTAATCGCTAAGTAAAATATATAATGAGAAAATAGTGTTAACAAATTTTAGATATATAAACAATCACATATTTTTAGGTTAATTTACAGAGTTTTCAGTTTGGGTCAATATCTTCTACAATCCATCATTGTGGAGAAGTGGTTTCAAGAGAAAAAATATTCTATACAAAATTCCACAAAAGGTCACCAAAGATATCAAATCGGAAAATATAATATATAACGAGAAAATAGTGTTAACGAATTTTAGATATATAAACATATTTTTAGGTTAATTTGCAGTGTTTTCAGTTTGGGGCCAATACCTCTTACAATTCATCACTTTGAAGAAAGCGTTTCGAAGGAAAAAATATTCTTCACGAAATTCCACAATAAGTCACCAATGATATCAAATCGCTAAGGATAATATAAAACTTGAAAATAGTGCTAACAAATTTTAGATATATAAACAATTACATATTTTTAGGTTAAATTGTGGAGAAGTGGTTTCAAGGAACGAAATGTTCTTCACAAATTTTTTCAAAGGCTATAAGAAAAGGGAACAATTGTAGGTATAAAAGAAACAAAGATAAAAAACATTCATCTCAAATTTGTTTCCTTGTCCTTGAATTTTGTAGACTTTTTGTCCTGTGCTATAAAATTCGACGACTTGGTAATAAAACATAAATATTTACACACTCAGTTAAGACAAAAACCAGGATACCAAAGCCATATAACACATACAAATATTATCCTTTGCTATAAAATAGTGTGCCGTTAGGGAATTATACGAGTATTAAATAAAAAAAAAAATTATAAAATAAAGTACAGGCAAAAACCAGCAGCCATATAAGACGTTATTATACAAATACTACAAAATATTTATATTTAAATCCCTTTTGACTGAGCATTTGAGTCATTTTTCCATTCCAATTCTAAATATGTATGAATTGAAAATTATGTTTTGGAATTTTAGACTAACTTTATTTACTTAAAATCTTATTTTGTGTTTATTTTTATATATAATATAATTTGTATTCATTTGTTTTTTTTTATTTGTTTTGTCTAATAATAATTGCACAATAATTACAACTAAAAAGAGAGAAAAAGTAATAATTATAGTAACGCATAGATATAGAGAATGAATAAAAACTTAAAATCAAAGGCCATACAAAATTGCACAAAAAAAGTTAAAAACGATAAAAAACAAACGAAAAGAATGGCAAAATCTCGCCTGGGAGAAATATCCCTCTAAGCCTTTTTCTATATCAAATAAAAAAAGAAATTAAATTAACACTTCTTAAATCTAAGAAAAAAATTGAAAGATAAGGCATTTTTAGAAAACCAAAAAAGGTTAAAAGAATTCGTACTCTTTTTGTTTTAATTCTTACACACAACATTCACCCAATGAATGCTTTCATTAAAACTCTTTATGAAACAAACAAAAATTTGATAAAATAATCTTAAAAACTACAAACAAAAATAGCTAAAATCCTCAAAAAATACAAAAACTAAACTTAAGATCTAGAATTTATGCTCCAAAAAAATAAACATTGTTGATTTCTAAATTTCGATTTTTCTAAATTTCGCTTTCTTTGACACTACTCGAAAAAATTAACCAAGGCTTGACTTAAATTTTATATAATGATTTTGTTTTTCTTTACTTGAGCCTTAATATTGGGTTGAAAAAAAAAACAAATACAAAGGCAGAACAAAAATATTTTTCTCGTTTTCTTAAGGATGGTGGGTGTTGTTAGTTTTCATTTTCTTCTATTCAAAATTGAAATTCTATTTGATTTCTTTTTGTTCAAAAATAAAAAGGAAATTGTAAAAAATTTAAAAATGGGTTTCAAAAACGATGCGGCGGCACCAGTGTCATTTTGGCAGTACCCTTAAGGGAGTGCTTCTTTTTCCGATGTGTCGACAAATTACATGACTGTTTAAAACTGGCCCCGCACATTTCACAGGCAAACTTGCGCTCTTTACTGTGCACACTGCGATGCAGCTCGAGCCGAGATTGATATTTGAACTTTAGCCCACAATTTTCAAAGTCACAGATGTACCAACGTTCCCCGTCCTCCGAGGACATGGCACTGCTGGCACTCGCCGTGGTACTATTGTTGGTCGACTCCTTATTGTGCGCCATCTCATCTTTGATGGGCATTAGGGCGGCCATTGACGTTGGCACTTGAGAGGCAGCCGCTGCTGCGGCCGCAACTGACATATTTAGGGAATTCAAATTGGGTTGTACTAAGGCGGCATAAGCACTGACCGGTGGTGCATGGACATGGGGTATTTGATACATAAGGGGTGCACTTATTTCAATTTGTTGTGTCTGTTGTTGGTGTTGTTGTTGTTGCTGCTGCTGTTGTTGCTGCATTTGTTCTTGCTGTTCCTGTTGCTGCTGTTGTTGCTGCTGGTGGTGCTGTTGCTGTTGGGCTTGTTGATGCTGGCCTGGATGACTTAACTGTGGTTCCAATTTAATGTCAATCGACACTGACTGGTTGGGATCTTCATGGGCCCGCATCTCTGTGTAGTCTTTTGGTTCCTTGTGCATATCCTCATCTTCTTGGCTCATGCTATCCTCGCGCTGCTGTTCATTTACACTCATCTTGCGAAACAATGGCAACGGCATCATTGATGCCGCTTCCGCTGCCTCCATATATGCCTGGGCTGCAGTTCGTGTCTGTTCCTAAAACGACGAAAAACAACACACACCAGAAAAAAATGGCGCGTTAATACCATTCGACCCCTTGCAGAACCCCTCCCACAAGAAAACCCAAAACACAAACAATACCAACTCACTTGTCTAACGCCATGCATAAAGTTGTGCTCGTCCTGTATGTGCTTCCAGAACTTATCTTGTGTCTGCAGCTCCTCTTGGCACGTATGACACACAATCCAAAACTGCTGTCCATCTCCAGACAAACAGAAATCCCCCAATTTCGTGTATATTTTATTGTTCTTGCTTATTATACGTGGAAAACCCATTGCGTATGTTGCCAATCAACGATTTATGCGATTATTTTAGCCACTCCAGCGATTTAAAAACACTTTTTTCCTACAAAAATATGTTCCCCCACAAAAAAAGTTGCCCAATAAAAAAATATTTTTGTTTACCACTTTGTTTTTGACGTTTTCTGACGTTTTGTTATCAAATGACACACACAAACACACACATTATTTTTTTTTTCTTTTTTTCTCTTCGTTTTCTTGTGTTTATGTGAAAAAACGTACCAAAACAAATGCTTCTTCTTCCACGAAGGGTGTAAAGGAGAAATGTGTTATGCTTAGTGAATTGATATCATACAATACCTGTTTGATTAGTTTAGTCATTTGAAAATAATTTATCGTGTGTATAAAATGTTGTTATTCGTTTTGTAGGTTAAATTATCACATAAATATAGAATGTTGATCATTTTTTTTATTTAAAATTAAATTTTTAATGCTTCTTCATACTTGTGTTGGCCATCCAAGCAAACTAATTTAGTAGAATATATAATGAAAAAAGATGATAACCTGTTGTTGGTTATAGGAATCTATAGATCGTAGTTTCAATGGAATTTTAAACTGGTCGTTGAATCTATATTGATCAGTGAAAATTATTAAAATCTTCAAAGTTTTAAGAAAATGTTGGGAAAATGAATTTAAACAAAATAAGCAACTCAAAATGAACTAAAGTACAAGTAAAGTTTAAGCTGCACACAGCGGAAAAATAATTAGTTTATGCTGCTTAATCTCCACAGCCAAATCGTCATTTATTTTACGTATAATAAGCGAAACTGCCTATCTGAATATCGCGTTTTATAAAAAAAACTCCATCTCTAAGGGTGCAAGTACATAAAAGGCTTGAAGTCAAGGCTAGGCATATTAATGTCATGTGCGGCTCTGTACTCCCTTCATGAAATGTTACAAAATATGCCTAGCCATGACTTCAAGCTTCTTATGTACTTGCAGCTTAAGCTTTAAATGTAAAAAAGGTAATTTATTGGATTTTGGTTAAAATATTACACATAAATTAAAGCTGACTTACAGTACGTTTATATATATGAGGATTAACCCACTGAATTTGGATTTAAATTGTCATTTCCATTACTTTTTTTTAAAATAAATCCTCTCAAAGAAGGTTAACCCTACAAAAAGTTCTAACGTAAACATGGCATTATCTCTGAAAATATTTGTCCTTTGAACTCGGTTTGGCAATTTGATATCAGATATTTTCCCTTTCAGTTCAATTCCCATTTATTTACCGTGGATTATTTGCAATAAATTTAGATAAACCCCGGAATTAATATAATGTAAACGAACTTTAATGTAGAGTGGGATCATGATAGAATAATATAGGCAGATAGTTCAACGCTTGGGAACATTGATATGTCAAAAAAAAAATGTTTTTTCAAATATAAGTAGATTTTTATATGCTTTTATATACACGTCATTCGGAGGTTATTATAATACGAGTTTTTCAACAAGTCTCACAAATCTAAATAAATTTTCATTCAACATTTTTTAGTCCAAAATTGGTTTAACTGTTCCTCGTCGCAGCAGCTGTGGCGATGCATCTACCTATATTCTTCTACCATGGTTTGTTTGAATAAATCCTTTCCGTTGCTCCACATTATGCTTCATACCTCATTGTGGATTTTTGTTTGGACATCCCTTTTTTGTCTTCATCGATTCATTTTGTTTTTAACTAGCTCTTACGTCTCTATTCAATGAATACATTTTCGAACTTCTAGAACCCTGACACCAAGTTTTTCGATCTTCTAGATCCCTCATCAGTCGTTGTTTTTACTTTTGAGCCATACATTTCCAAAAGAATCCAAAGGAGCCGGGGAAGTAACTCCCAGTATTTCATAGTACTCTAAAAGTACGTAGTATTTTTCATATATAAGCTAAAGTATTTATAAAAACCACAAAAACACGCACCTGCCCCTTAAAATATTCAAAAGTATTGGCGCGTTGTGAAATAGTTTGAACAAAACATACCTGAGCATGCTTTCCGTCGATAGCTGCAATAGAAAGCTTCACTTGTATTTCTGAGGAACCAAACATCATACTCTTGAGTATTCTATGATTGTTTCAATTTTAACTGATTTCTTTAATTTTTACAGCCCCTGTATTCCCAACTGTGTTAAGGCCCAGCCTATGTTGTGAGCATTAGAAACCCTCGTAAACGTTACCCACATTGAAACAATGGCTACCAGTTCAAATTTACCCTTGTCCGTTGAGAATGGCCCACAAACATCACCCGTTTGTCTTATTGTCCTGGGCATGGCCGGTTCGGGGAAGACAACATTTGTACAAAAACTTACCCAAACATCGTTTGCAAAATATAAACCCTATGTGATTAATTTGGATCCGGCATGTCGTGAGACACCCTATCATGCCAATATTGATATACGCGACACTGTGAACTACAAAGAAGTTATGAAACAATATAAACTTGGTCCAAATGGTGGTATTGTGACCTCGCTGAATTTATTTGCCACCAAATTTGAAAAGGTGGTCGAGTTAATACGACGTGCAGGACAACAGGGTCATAAATGGTGTATCATAGACACACCGGGTCAAATTGAGGTATTCACATGGTCTGCCTCGGGTACAATAATAACAGAGGCCTTGGCCACAATGTTCCCTACCATTGTGGTGTATGTGATGGATGTGGTAAGGTCTGTGAGTCCCACAACATTCATGTCAAATATGTTGTATGCCTGTTCGATATTGTATAAGGCGAGATTGCCGTTCATTGTGGCCATGAATAAGGTTTGTAAAATTGATTTAAATCGGCTATGATAAATCTAATAATCTGTTCTTTTGTTGCAGATCGACATGCAAGACCACGACTTTGCCGTGGAATGGATGACAGATTTTGAGGCCTTCCAAGAGGCATTGGAAAAGGAACAAAACTATATTAGCAACTTAACCCGCACAATGTCTTTGACACTGGATGAGTTTTATTGTGGTCTTAAAACTTGTGGCATATCCTCAAAAACAGGTGTGGGTTTTGATGCCTTTTTTGGCCTGGTAGAGGAGGGAGCCATTGAATACGAGAAGTATGTTTATTTAATGTTGAAAATGTTTTTAAAATGTAATGGTGAATACTTCTTCCCATAGGGAATACAAAGCTGAATACAATAAACTGCGCGAAGAGAAATTAAAGGAACAAACGAAGAAACAAGAAGAGAAATTGGAAAGCATTGCCAAAAGTAAAGGTGCTGGTAGTGAAATTAAATTAACTGGCTTTGTGGAAGAGGTGAGAGATTGCTTTGATATTTTCACCACATGTCAGGAAAATATTTTCAAAGAGCCAACTTCTAACTATAAAAGGATACCCTGTAGCTTAGAAACATTTTAAAAGAAAAACGTATTTTTTTTTTTTTGTAAAACAAGAAAGAATTTTCAATTTGCCTCTAAAAAATTCAGTTTTTCTTCCATGAAAATTTCAAAAACATTTTTGTTGTATTAATAGAAAACTTTGTTTCCAGGTATCAAGTGGCCGTGAACTTTCCGATGTCTATTTAAAACATCCTGGCAATGAAAGTTCTGAAGACGAGGAAGGCAATGAAGATGAGGCACCCTCCACCTATCAAGTTGAACAAACGGAAGAACAAAATTTCCAACAATTTGTTAAAAATCGCATCGATACACAAAATGAAAAGAATAAAAATTTGATGTCGGAATGAAGAAGAAATTGAGAATTGTGTATTGAATAGAGTGAGGTTTTCTGGAGATGGAAAACTCTTCCAGAGGGCTTATGTTGAGCCTTCAATGGTAGAATGCATTTCCAGAGTTTTTTTTAACATTTTTTGTTAAAATTATTAATTATTGTCATTATTTTATTTATTTTAGAAAAAATTGCCCAGTTGATTTATTATAAAAAAATCGCCAAATTAATTGTTCCTATAGAAAAAGCTCGCCGAGATCATTTTTCTTATAGGAACGATACCCCGAGGTGATTTTTTCTATGAAAGAATTCGCTAAAAATTCGGGGAAAATTTCCTGAGATGATTTTTTTCAATAGAAAAAATTTGTCTAAATGATTTTTTCTATAGAGAAAATTTATCGAGCTTATTTTTTCTATAGAAAGTTAATTTTTTCTATAGAAAAAAAAATCGACTAGTTGATTTTCCCATAGAAAAAATTGCCAAATTAATTGTTTCTATAGAAAAAATTCGCCGAATTGAGTTTTTCTTTAACAAAACATTACCTACAACAAATTTTCCAATAGAAGAAGTAGTTAGTTAGTTATTTTGGAAAATGCTCAGAGTTGATTTTTGTGAGAAGGCGTTTTTACACGATTTTAAACTAAATAGGGTTCACTAGAGATCACTAAAATAAAAACGCTTGTGTTTTTTTTATTTTAAATAAATGTTATTTGATTTGATGACATTTTATTGATTTCTTTTCAGTTTTACTTTTTTTGTTATATATATTTGTCTGTGTAATTAGGCGGTTTTACATTTTTCTTTTGCAAGCAAAATTTGCAATTATTTGAAACGGGTGTTGGATTTTGTTTTTGGAAATCGTTTTACATAGATATTTTCATGACAAACTATTTAACGTGATCAAATTGGGCTTGTTTTTTTTTTGTTGGTTGGGAGTGGTTTGAGTGGCTTGATCGGTTCAAAGGCTTATAAGCTAAATTAAATGTATATATATTTATTTACGATTAAATACACATGTATATAAATAAATAGTTACTTATCCTAAGAATATATAGATTTTTTTTATAACTTTCAGTTTTCATTTTGTGTGTGTGTGTGTTTTTACGTTTGGTTTAAGAAGCGGCTAAATAAACGGAATGTGGGGGGTTTTTTACGAGTTTACATCAGTTTAATTTGGTAATAACAATGTTTTGTTGTATTCCTTTTGTTAAATGTTTGTTTTGTATATATATTTTGTTTATAACAAGCAATAATAGTTTCATTTCTTATATATTCTTTTTTTAAATAGTATTTGGTTTGTTCAAGCATCGGCTTTTTTTTTGTTGTATTTTTAAATCGTCTATTTTGCAATACAAAAAAGATATTGATTTTTCTGTTTATTAGTTCCCAGGCAAATTATTTAGAAAATTGTTATGCATTTTCAAGAGTATAAAAACAGACTTTTAAATCAAGAGTTTAAATTAGGTTAGGTTTGTGACCTAACCTAACATTTTTTTTTAAAATGAAAAACAATTTGAATTTTTTGTTTTTGTTTTGTAAAAAATAAAAATTCGAATTTTGGACTTTGCAGGGCCTACGTCTAACTAGACCCTTATTTTTCTATAACTTAGCTTAAGCTAAACTTAGAAAAAACAGATATTGTTGTTATATAAAAGATTTCTTATGGCTTTTTCTTTTTAAATAATGTTGTGCATTTCTTAATACTTTTTTTGTATTTGTTAATGTTTTTAAGCGTTAGTTGATTTTGGACATTTTGCTTTTTTCATATTGTTTTTATTATATTTTTTCCATTTTTTATAGAATTTCAATTAGTGGCTTACAAAGCTTGAGCTCTAAAATATGCTTTAATGTTTTTTTTATTATTAATTTATTTTCAATAATAATACAGCTTGTGGTAAAAAGATATCAAATTGTATATTTAGTACTTATTAATTCAATAAAATAATCAGTATTGATGGATAATTTAGAATGTATATAATTTAGTATTTTGTTTTTTTCTTTATAAAAAATAAAAGTGAAATAATAATTGTTTTACACAAGGAATTTATGATTTCGGAAAAGATATAAGAAATATGTTTAAAACACATATTGGCCGTGATTACATTGTTTGCAAATACATTTCCGTTGTGTATTTAATGTAAACATACTGTTACCGTTGGCATGTAAACATACTGTACCGTAACTGCAAAGTTGCCGTAATGACCACGTACTTCAATGGCCGTTATTACATTCATTGCCGCTTTTAAAGGAGAGCCAATCAAATGACATTTGTGAAAAAATGCATAAAATCCTTATTATTTATCCAAAAAACTTAATGTAATTAAATAAATTATATTTAAAATAATACAAATTACACTTATATTTAATACTTTCATTAATACTAAATACTGTTCACATCACGCATTTACCAAATGAGTTTTTTTTTCCTTTGTTTTTTTTTTTATTCGGTTCTTAACCCCCTTCCAGACATCACAACTTTTTTTTTTCTCTACAACAATCACACTTTTACAAAAATACATAGTTTTTTTTCTAATTTCCTAGTTGTCCGTTTTCTTCTTCTTCTTCTCTACGGCCTGTGATTATGTTTGTGTAGGGGGGAGGGAGTTATTATGGAGATTTTTCTATCCCAAAAACTAAGGCCCTAAGACATGGTTTGTGTTTTTTTACAAAGATTCTAGGGAAATATCACCATCTACTACATTTCAATACACAGTGTTTTGTTTCTTGTTTGTGAACATGATTAGGATTGTTTCAATGTTGCTTTTTTATTCATTTTTTTCTAAAGTAAAGGTGTTTTTTTAGTTGGGTGTTCTTTTTCTTCTAGTTTGGGTGGTTTAAGTTTTCCAGCCATCCAGCCGTTGATTTAGATATTTATTTACTTTATTATTTGTGATTGTAGCCAAGCCGCTGTTGTTTTTTCGTGTCTTGCCATTATTTTCTCTGTATTATTTTTTTATAAAAATTTCTTAAAGAAATCTTTTATCAGTGATATTTTCAAGCAGAAAAAAATTATTTTTCAGTAAAGAAAAATATAAGCTGTGATATTTTTCTTCAAGAAAATTATTATCATTAATATTTTTCGCACAGAAAAATGTCATCAGTGATATTTTTTGCATAGAAAAATATCATTAGTGATGTTTTTCGTATAGAAAAATATCATCAGTGATATTTTTCGTATAGAAAATATCATCAGTGATGTTTTTCGTATAGAAAAATATCATCAGTGATGTTTTTCGTATACAAAAATATCATCAGAGATGTTTTTCGTATAGAAAAATATTATCAGTGATATTTTTCGTAAAGAAAAATATCATCAGTGATATTTTTCGTATAGAAAAAATCATCAGTGATATTTTTCGTATAGAAAAAATCATCAGTGATGTTTTTCGTATAGAAAAATGTCATCAGTGATATTTTTCGTATAGAAAAATATAAGAAAAATATTTTTCGTATAGAAAAATATCATCCGTGATGTTTTTCGTATAGAAAAATATCATCAGTGATGTTTTTCGTATAGAAAAATATCATCAGTGATGTTTTTCGTATAGAAAAATATCATCAGGGATATTTTTCATATAGAAAAATATCATCAGTGATATTTTTCGCATAGAAAAATATCATCAGTGATATTTTTCGCATAGAAAAATATCATCAGTGATATTTTTCGAATAGGAAAATATCATCAGTAATATTTTTCGTTCAGAAAAGTATCATCAGTGTTGTTTCTCGCATCACTTCACTAAAATATCACTGATTTATGCACCTGTTTATTGGTTTGCAGGCCGATTCTTTTTCTTCTTTGTTTTTTTTTTATTTGAATATATAATATATAAATGGTATAAAATAATATTTTTAATATTGCCAATGCTTTAACTTAGTGGATTTTATATATTTCCTGTTTTTTATAGGGAGAGATTTTTTATTTATTTAAGTTTTGCTTTATTTTTTTAAGAAACAGTCTTTATTTTTTATTTTAAATAAAAATAAATAAAATATCAAGAAAACTTATTTTAAAAAAAGTAAATTGTAAATTTAAATTACCAATTTTTTATTTTTTTGAAAAAAAAAATAATATGTTTAACAAAGAAAGATATAAATTCTTGTTATTTTCTCGTTTGGAATTTTGTTAGAAAATAATGCAAATATTGATTTGAATTTTTTTGTTTTAATTTTTTTTAATGTTTTTTTTTTGTGTTATTGTTGTTGCTTAATATGAGCTGTTCTCGTTTTTGTTAAATAAGCGTTTTTTATTATTATTTTTTCTTGTCAATGATAATTGTTGTTCATGTATAAGTTAGGTTTTAATAATAATGCAGCTCTCTGTGGTTTGAAAATAATACAGGAAATATAATTCTCGCTTACTTTTTTTTATAAAAAAAATTAAAAGTAAAGTCTTTGCTTTAAACGTGAAGCTCATTCAAAATTAACAAAAATTTCCATTAAATTATTTTTTTGCTTCATTTTTTGCGTGAATTAAAAAAAATATTGATTGCAGTTTTTTTCTTACGATTTTTCTCTCCACTGCTGGAACTTGATTTAATCTTCATCTGATAAATTGGTATTGGTTAGTAAGGTGGTATTATCCTCGCCGCCAGTTTCTTCAATATCCTGTAAGGGAAATAAAGAAATTATTATAAAATATCAAATCAAGTCAAATTATATTTTAAATATAAAAAGAGAAAAAAACTCATAAATCTATTACTGCCATCCCTGATTACTGCGGATGGTGTAAACACGAACATTACTTGTTTTACGCCGTTGTTGCCATCCGTTATATGCAAATGCTACCCAACAAAAAATCAATTACTGCAATCCCTAATTAGCTAGGGTGTTGTAAACACGATCTTTGTGATCGTATTATATTCGTTATATGTAAAAACGCCCAAAGAAAAAATCATTGACTGCAATTCCTAATGAATTTTATATGGTTAATTTTACCCGTTCTATTCATTATGATGACGACATTATTATAACGGCATTAGTTTACAGTGTAATAACGGCTACGATACTATTGCATAGCATAACCATAAAGCAAAGAAAACAAAAGGTATTTTTTGTCACTTTCCCTGCATCAATTGGCCAGAAACATCTCTCTGAGAGAGTAAAGTGGTTTTATTCTCTTTTACAAGAAAACCATGGAAAGTAAACAAACAGAATCTCTGCAAAATTTTGCAAGCAATTAGCTGAACTAAACAAGTTGGCCGTTGTAACAAGAAATGAAGCACTTAAATGAGTTGAATAACAAAACAAATATGATCGTGATTTCCCAAATAAACATGTTCTAAAATCGTTCGCCTCTAAAGGAAATAAAGAAGAGTTGCAATTGATTGGGAGCGGTAATAAGGTTGCATAGGTGTAAAGTAGACCCTCGAATTGTGCTACTATTTTGTGTAAAGGAACACGTTTTGAGGAAAAAGTTTTAAAAGTTGACGTTTTTGGTACGTAAAGAAAAGAGCTAACACAGATCCTTTAAAATTCATTAAAAACTCCACGATATCTAGTCTTTAAGGTCTTGAAACTTTTCCGAAACAAGTTAAATAGTATCAGTAGTTTTTGCCGACAGATTTATACCCCCAGCCTTGAGTGATGATTATTATAACTGTTGACCCTTTATGGGGGTGGTTCCGAAGAAGTTATGACAGATATAAGTATTGGAAATTGTGAACCTTTGCGGTTGAGGCACCAAAATAGGTTGGCAGACATCTATCATCTTCATAACAGATCTTGCGGTAACAAAAATATTTGGGTATGTGAATTATGAATAGTTGAATACTTATTTCGCGTTTTATGAGCGTTGTGTTTTTTTTCATAATTTTGAACCCTTTGTGGTTGAAGTACCAAAAAGAGTGTGCCGATATATTCCATTTTCACAGCAGATCTTGTGCTAGTAGAAATAATGGGATGTGTGCAATTTGAAAAGAACCGGAAGCATATTTCGGGTTTTATAATCGTTTTGGTTATTCAAAACATTGACCCTTTGTGTGGGAGGTACCAAAAGGAGTTGTCCGATCTCTATCATATTTATAACACATCTTGTGTTGATGGAAATCTTGAGATGTGCTAAGTCTGAATGGAATCGGATGTTTATTTCTCGTCTTATGAGCTTCCTAGATATTCAAATTTGTAACCCTTTGTAGAGGAGGAACCAGAAGAAGTGGACCTATATATTCCATCTTCACACCAAATTGAAAATATTGTGATGTGTGTAATTTAAAGACAATCGGACACTTACATCACATTTTATATGAGTTATAATTATTTAAAATTTTGACCACTTGTTGGAGAGGTACTTTATTTATTTTTTTATTTATTTATTTATATTCAATTAACAAAGTTACCTAGCCCAAAACTTCTATACATAACTACTCTAACTACTAGTTGATGGAGTGGATCGATATTGTTCATTTTCGTACCAGACCTAGCACTGATGCAAATATTAGGATTTGAAGTTGGAGCAAAATTGGATAATCCTTTCTTTTTTTGTGCAGTAAATTATTTTCTTTGAAATTATGGACATTTTTGGGGGAGGTACCAGAAGCAGTTGACCGATATTGCCCATCTCTGAACTCGATCTAAGTTTGACAATAATATTACGATATACCAAGTTTGGATTAAATCGGTTAATCGCTTCGAGAGTTATGGTGCGCACCAGCCAGACAGACAGAGGAGATCGACTCCAAATGTTCTGAAATGGATTCGGTTCAAAGAGACCTAGAATGAGACACGTTTTGTCCGTATCAAATGATATATACCCTCTGTTGTCATATGGCTGAGGTTATAAAGAATCCATACTTTTTTGTCTGCAGGTCATTGAAAAGGAAAATCTTTTAAAATCCACGATTAATTGTCTGAAGGTCAAAATGCACAAAATACCTGTAAAAAATCCACAATTTTCTGCAGGCCCTTGAAAAATATCATTGAAAAAATGTCCTGGAATTAATGAATAAAATCTTTTTTTTGTTTTGGTTCTATAAATATCGGAAACGCATTTTATAAATTCTTCAAATATTCCTACAAAATAGACGATTTTAGATAAAATGTTCTTAAAATTTCCAGGACCAATGAAAAACTATTCATGAAAATCCACAATTTTTAAAAACAAGTCACCAATATTGAATATATATTTTCAAAACTAAAAACATTGCACAAATTCGCAACAGATTCTCTATTTTTTTTTTTTTTTAATTATAATTTATGAAAAATTTTCATTGAAATCAAAAAAAAAAAAACATGAGAAAAAAAATATTATGGAATGTATTCCTTGGTTTGTTATATATGAAAAATTTTCTTAAAAATCTTCTCTCCTAAAAATTTAAACCTTAAAGTTTTTAACTCCATGAAAAATTATATTTAAAAAATTAACAAATTTAAGAAAAATTATTGTTAAATGAATTATAATTTTATATGAACTTTTAAAGCACGTGAACTGCATTATCCAAACAGCCAACATGTGCCTATTGCTATCCACGTAGCTTTAAGTGTGAAAGTATATTATATTATACAATAAATTCAATATGGATAAAAAAAATTGATAGTAAACCGGTATAGAGACATCTTCGTCGTCGTCATCATCAACATCATCATCGCCGTCATTATTATTATCAGCAAGCAATTAAGAGCGATTGTTGAGGGGGCTAGTCAATTAAGTGGCACAGCAACAACATAACCTTGAGCTAATCCCAAAAAAAAAAAACCAAAACACAGGCACACACAAAAAGGGAAAGGAAAGTTGCAACGGAGATTCAAAACATGTTTTGATGTTTTTTTCTTTTTTTTATAAAAAAATATTTATTTTTATTATAAGAGTTCGTTTTTTTTCTAATATTATGTATGTGTATACGTATTATTCAGCCAAGTTAGACTTATTTATGAAATAAATATTTTCAATTTAACATAAAAAAATGTCAGCTTGCTTTTTGCAGACACAAAAGTAAAAGTAAAATTCAGTTTGTCGGTTTGTTTTTATAAAAGTTTATATAAAAATATATATTTTATAGTTGCAGTTTTTGCATTTAATAAAAATAAAAGTACAAAAATTAAAAAAAAAAACATTTTTTTTAAATAGCTTCATTTGAATGAAACATCAAATCTTTTTTATAATTTAATTATTTTTTTAAAAAATACAATAGTTTTGATTTTATTATTTTTTTTTTCGTTTAAAAATAAAGGAATTTTTCTTTCATTGTTTGTGTGTTTTTGAGTTGAGAGTGTCGAGTGTAGAGAATGTTTTGAAGTTTAAAAATAGTTTAACAATTTTACATATTTAAAAATTACATGGTTTCAACGGTTTGTTGTTTCTTGTTTTGTGTGTTTGTTGTATAAAAAAATATGAAATCAAAAATTGCCTTAAATGCATTTCATAGAGGGAGACAGATATCCTTCCATTTTAGTTACAAGTAGTTGGTGTACCCGGCAAATCGGCGGCACATCTCTTGAAGCAATGACCAGGTGTTTTTAAAATGGAAGTGGAAGGGCAGGGGGTTTTTTGAGCAAACAATTATTATTGATGATGTGGAGCTTCTGAATTTTATTTTGAACTTGCGCGGCATATTCTTTCTGTATGCAAGTGCCTATACTAGTGGCCGGTTCCAGGTTTCATTTTTTTACTTGGTCTTCACCTTATTGTTGATGGGAGCACTGGGCGATTGATCAGCTTCTGGCAAATCGGATTCACGTTTCACCTTTTTCGTCTTCTCCTTGGGGGTCTTCTTCTTTTGGCTGGGAGCTGGTTTGCTCAATTGTTTTGCCTCACGCTTGGCCTTTAGTTGCTCGGTGATGAAGGAGAAAATGAAATAGCACTGCAAACCCAAGAGGGCAAACAATGCCAAATAGCCTCTCAATTTTTGTGACGAATTCGCAATAACTCCATAGTACAAGGCCAAAACTCCAATAACCATGGATGTGAAACGGACAAAGACAAACACAGCATTGTTGAAAATACGAACACTGGCCATTTTTTCATCACGATCAAATACACCAATCAATTGGAAGATGTGGGCAAAGGTGGCCGACAAGTAGTGCAAAGTCAAAATAACCAAGGCAATGCGTTGGAATCCGAATGTGTAGGCCAAACAAATGATGGAGAAACCACACACGGCATGAATGATTTTGGGTTGTTGATCTTCCTTCTTGACCTTTTGGAAGTACAATTCAGGCAACATGTGCAAATAGTAAGCCAGCTGGATGATAAAGAAGAATTTGTGCAGGAACAACATGGGGTGATTTGGATAGTCATCCCACAACAGAGAGAACTTGGTGAAATAGCCCTCCTTCAAAATGACGTTGGCACCCCACAGGAAAGACATGACATAGAATGCCACCAATTGACCACTTTCATTGAACAGGGACAGCTTGAATTTGGACAGATGCAGTTTTCTTGAGATCTTATCCAAAACAAATTCCTGGATAATGGCATGCATAATAATGCAGGTAAGGGTATAGAAGAACACGGCACAGTAATCCTTGATGCCAGCCACATAGGTGAAGGGCTTTCCCAGCGGTTGTTCACGTGTCGGCTCCTCTCCGCTCACATTATGATGTAGAGAAATAAAGGCGCTGGCAAATGGTGATGTCGACTCGTCCATCAGGCCCAAAACGAAGACCATTGCCACACAGGAGATAATATCGGCATGATTTTGTATGACGAATTCATGGCTTAGGATGGGTGGGTTCTTGTTGGTGGACTTGCGTCCCAAACTGGCTGGTTTAATGGCCATCTCTGTCTTGGTTACTCTTGCCACAATATTATTTTCTTGGATAATGCTTGTTAATATTACTATTCTTTTATCGTTTTTTATTTGTTATCCAGCAGAAGACGACGACGACGATGACAACAACAGAAGCAGCAGCAGCTCCACAACTAATCTCCCCAGTATGTTTTTCTGTTACGTTTCGCCAAATGAATGGTTGGAGCTATCGTTTCTTTCGTGGACGTCGTCACACGTCAAAAAAGTTTCTGTTTAAAATGCCACAGTGGCAATAACAATCGATTGGTCGATGGTACTATCGATATTTTTTTGCTGTTGTGTCAAATTGGGGTATTCGGTTATTTATGGCACAAACAAAGTTGACAGTTATTCCAATAAGAGAGTGTAACATAAATGAGAGCCGTTGCTTATATTAGGGATCTATAGCGAAGGAAATGACAAGGATCGAGTTTTACAGACCTATGTGCCAGAATAAACAAAACAATACCTGTGGATTTTTTTAAGAATATATTTCGAGAATCGTGGATTTTTAGCTATTAAGGAATGGAATTTACTGCTTTAAATATATATTTTCAAGCAGCAACTTTCGTTCGTCGATTCTTGAGCAAATTAATAATTTTCGATGGACAACATTCAATCACTTTGATGTATTATATGGTATGTTTTTCTTAAATCCAAACCGTGGTTTAAACGTTGATTTTCAATACATTTTTAGAAAGAAAAGAGCTTTAGTTGTGTACCTTTTTTCTGACAATGTCAATTATTTTGTCAAGATCTACAGATGAGCGATCTTGGACCTTAAGGACCATTCGAAGATTTTTAAGAATATTTTTTGTGGACCAATTTTAGTATTTAAGGCCGATATTTTTAAAAATATTCATTAAGCTGCTTTTAAACTTTTTTCCCATATTATTATTATTTTTTTTTTACGAATATTTTGTGTTTTAATAATTGGTCTGTTCCAGAACTGCAAGAATGTAATTTTTTTATTACGATTTCTCTTTATGATATCGAAAAAAAATTGCGAAACTAGTGGATTCTTGCAGGTTCTGGTTCAGAGGTAATGGAGAAAATATGTTTTTTTGAAATTCCACCTATTGAATTTCAAAATTATTTAGAATTTTTAAATTTATTTAAAATACCAATATTGGATTTTTTTAGAAATACTTTCTAACGACTTCTCAATATTTTTTTATAATAATTTTATAATAAAACATAGTCTTACTCCCTTAAATATAGATATGTTTTTCTACTCACATTACGATTCCTCTTTCGAACCGAAGTGACAATGGTCCTCTTGTTGCGTGCCACCAAACAGACCGTTATGATGAGAATGACACCAATTAAAGCGAAACCCAATAAGGCTGGCAATAGCACGCTATCCTCGGTTTTATAACCCTTTTGGTGGTAGGCAAGTGGTTGGGAGGATGAGGCGCAAAAAAGAGAATGAGAAAAAGAAAGCAAGAATTATTAATCTATTTCCGAATGAGGTTAAAAACCCATTAAGTGGTTAACTTACATTCCATTGAAAATATGTGGATGGATCTATGTAGGGCCAATGAGTGTGAATCCAATCAGAATCTTGTCCAGTAGTAGTAGACGCTGTCATTGTGTTAGACATTTTATTATTGGCTGTTAGCGTTTTGGAGGGAATGATATCATTCAAATTGTTGTTGTTGTAGTTATTGGTTTCAGGTGTAGGTTGTATAGGTGAAAGATTTTTCACTAAAACTGGTGGTATGGCCGGTTTCTTGGCTGTAGATTTAAGCAATGGTACCTGCATGATGCGTGTGGTCATTGTGGGTTGGGTTGAAGAAGAGGACGATGATGATGATGATGTGGAATTGTTGCTTTGATTCAATGAAGATTGCAAAGAGGCCCTGGGTACATTGGGTACGGAGTTTAAGATGATTGACCTATTAAGTGCAGGGCTTGTTGTACTGGCAAGTACTACCTCTGCTGTAGCAGTTGTTGCCATAGGCTTGCTAGTTGTTTCCTGCTTGATAACTTGCGTCTGGACGGTGGTAATTGGTTGGTTGGTTATTTCCCCCAAATCATGAATGGTGATTTTTTGATTGGAATCTTCCTTCAATGTTGTGCCAATGGCACTCTCTGGCATGGGGGCCATTGTGATTTCCTTGTTTTCAAGATTAGCATCAGCTGCCTGGAGACTGGTCTTATTTAACTTCAAAATAATCTTCTCCACCCCATCCTTGTTGATAATTTTCACCGGTTTACCCACATTGGCTTTGTTCAAAGCCATCAGATTGCCCTTGTTTAGCATGGCATTGGCCAAAGCACTTCCCGTATGCTGTGAGTTGATGGGACCATTTTCCTTGTGTTCCTTGTTTGTTACGGTGCTTGAGCTGGGCATGGAAACCCGGCTGAAGGCTGCCTTGGTCTTTTGAAACCATTCTGTTGGATTGGGCAAACCGGCAGATACCAAAAATGGCACCAAAACAGCTCCTACTATGACCGTACACACAAACAGTAAACCTAAATAGGCAAAAAAAGATCTTCGGCGAGGTTTTTTATTTTTTGATTTTTTCGAGCCGGCCGATTTGATTTTACCCTCAAGGCGGAAATCATCATTTTGTGGTAGAATGGTATATTGGAGGCTATTTTCACCGTGTCGTATGGTTTTATACATATTTGAAGGGGTCCAAGAGATTTAACTTTAAACAGCTGGGGAGGGGCAAGTTAGACAAACATATGTTGGGCCTTCGAAATGTAGGTGAGCGGGGTGGGCCACAGATTTCCTTAGCAACGTTAAATTATTCCAGAATGAAGTTAAATATCGATTAAATAATAAGCAGACTCCAAAATGGTTTTGGTGTGAGGTCCTTTTTTAATGTCGTGTGGACGTGCCAAGAAGACAATGTAAAATAACTGCAGGACGTCGAGATTTAATGTTGGTTTGTTGCTTGATGTATTTCCCTTATCCTAGGTGGCAAAATGCAATTCCTTTCTTATTGGGATCACAATAAAACAGCAAAACACACTCACGCACACACACACAAACATATATAAAAGTGGGGTAGGTTGCAGAATATCCTTGAAACATATAAATTTTTCCAAACGCTACAAATAATTTTCCATGAATTCTTTAAAAACCAATAAAGATTTACAAAAGTTGAACACAAACAATATAAAAATGTTTATACAAAAAACACTTCAATATATAACATTTATTTCACTTCCTTGTGTTAGGTAAAATATTGAATTACGATTGTTTTAATAAATCTCAGTTTCTTTACTAACTACACACATAATCATATTTATTTTTCATTCATTTTTATTTCATTCTAAATTTTCACTTAAATTCTTTGTTGATAAAAATATATATTTTCATTTATTTTTCTGCTGCAATTCTGTGTCTACTCTTTGGGAAAAACTTCTCGTTTCCTTTGCTAGGTATTTTGTCATTTACTTTCGTCATTTGTCATTATCATATCCTTATTAACTGTCAAATGTTGTTTTTCTAATTCTCTTTGTGTGCTCGTTTTCCATGGAAAATCAATGGAAAGGACCTGTAGTACATCCTTTGAAGAGTTTGGAGTTTGGGGGTTGAGGTTAGTTGAAATTGCTATGTGGACAGTATTTTGTGTTGGCAACAATGTTTCCACAGCATCGAGCTTTTGCATATGTGTCAATAATGTAACAGCTGCCCTTTTGCTGCTGATGTTTGCCGTTAAATGTAAATTGCATGTGAAATTAATAGAGAAAAATAATATAATTTACATTTGGGTCAAATTTACTAATACTATTACATTTTATTATTACAAACATTTGTTGATAGATATTTAAAAGATTTTTGCTTTGTTGTCTTGGCTGCTGTATTCCATGTTGGCACCAGTGATTGCACAGCATTCAGCCTTTGCATGTCTAACCTTTAGAGTAACAGCAATTTATGTTAGTTACGGTTTCATTTGAACGCAATGAGAGCTGTCGGCGTTAAGCGTTGATATAATAAAATATGGACTCTTAACAAGGAAAGGAAATTATTATTTGAATGAATTACAGTTTGTTTTACAATGTCCAAGAAAAATTAGGCGGAATGAAAAACACCGTGTCCATGAGCATTTTTTGAATCGTTTGTTTTATGATATTGGGAATAAAAAGTTGTAAAGAATAAATATTTTAAAGAAAATATTTTTCAGATTTAATTTTTATACCCTCCATCGCACTATGGAGGGTATATTAAGTTTGTCATGCCGTTTGTAATACCTTGAAATATACATTTTAGACCCCACAAAGTATAAATATGTTCTTGATCAGCATAAAATTCTATGACGATTTAGCGATGTCCGTCCGTCTGTGAAAATCAATCTAGCTTCCGAACGAATTGAAGTAGGTTGCTAAAATTTTATCCAGTTGTGCGTTTGTTCTGCAGAATGTTTGGAATTGAAAATGGACTATATAGGTCCACGTTTTGGCATAGCCCCCATATAATTGTACCTCTCTATTTTCGGTATTTTAGTGATTTATGCGACATCATTCACCGAAAATGTTTTAAATTTGGTATTTGAAGTTCGTAATGGATACTACAGCTTATGACAGAAAATTGTCCGTGCAGGTCCACCCCTTCGTATAGCCCCCATATAACGGCACCTCCCGATATTCGGTATTTTGATGATTTTGATGTTTCAAATTTGGCATTTGCAGTTCGTAACGGGTACTAGAGTCTGTGACGGAAAATTGCTTATGCAGGTCCAGGTGTTCGTATATCCCCATATTAAGGTGTCTCCCTATATTCGTATTTTAATTTTCGTATTTGAAGTTCCTAATGGTTACTACAGCCTGTGACAGAAAACTGCCTATGCAGGTCCACATCTTTGTATTTACTCCAGTATAACGGTAACTCCATATATTCGGTATTTTGATAATTTTAAACAGTATATTTCAACGTTTTTTTAATTCGGCCCCACATTTTCGGCATTTTTTTTTTTTTCTAAAAACATTTCAAAAGAATATTTAGACAATTTCATAATTTTTGTTGGGAAAGCTAGTGATTTTTTTTCTCTGAAAAAAATTCTTTCGTAAAAATTTCCAAAATTATACTCTTGACAACATTTCATTGTCAACATGTATATATACAAATCCATTGCATATACACTCCCAGAGATGGGAGCCTGTTTTCATTGAAGTTACATTTGGAAAGGTAAACTGCAGATAAATTCAAAGCTGGATGTTATTACTTGAAATGAGATTACCTTGATCAAATTGTAACATGGACTTATTCTGATGAAAAGTTAGGAAAAAAGTTCATTCAGAATTTTTTTATGGAGAAAAGTCTAATTTTTTGCAAAAAAAGAACAAGTTTTATTATTATTAAAAAGCAGCGTATCTCTGTCTAAACCTGCCTATTTCGAAATAGCATTTTGTTTATTATATTTTCTTTTCTTTTTTTGTTAAAATTGTGTTAAACTTATTTTTATTTTAATGTTCAAATTTATCTGCCCTGTGTAAATACTCCATATGGCATCTCCATTGTTGTTATTGCCACACGTGGATCTCTGACTATGTGTGTGCGTGTGGGGGTCTCTTTGTGCAAATCATAACAGAGATAACACTCTCTCATGTACGTTTTTAATTCCCGTTGGGTCGGTTTCTCATGATTTGTACTCTCTCTCTCTACCCCAGAGTATGCTCCCCAATTAAAGAACACAAGCCAGCATAATTTTCAAAGCATAAAAACAAAAACGCAAATTGGAAAAAAATACAACAACAGTTGTATTTTTGTTGGTGAACCATAAGAAAAAAAAAAAAAAAAACACGCACAAGCACACATTGTTTTGGGGGCTAGAATTTAGAGAAAACACAGGGGCGGGGGATATTGTCAGAATTTTGAAAAAAAAAAAAACAAGTCACACCACACATCATCACAACGTTGACGTTTTACGGCGGCTGGCGGCTTTGCTGCTGCCAATTTGCTTTGTTGGAGAGCATAAACGTGCCAGCACACTTTCCAATTTTCAGTTCTAGTGAAACCACCGGCTGGTTTGGTTTAGTGGTGCTCTCGTCTTGTAACTAAAGAAAAAAAGAAAAATATCGCAAAAATGTCGATGCTGCGTTTGATTGGTGCTGAGGTGAGAGGATATGAAGGAAAACAATTTTTTTTTACCTGCTGCGTAGTAAAGTGTTGCCCTGCCGCTGTTGTAAAAAAAGTGTAATGCAAATAAAAACAAATGAAGGCATGCAAAGTAAAAAATGTGTGGCTGTGCGATTAATTGAAATTGTGGGGACATCTGGACAAGAGACTGAATGGAAAAAAATATTCCATAGATTATTAATTACGTAATACTGCCGTCTTCGTTAAAAGGGTCTTCTTTGATTTTTTTTAAAGATTTTGGTCAATGCCGGTTGAAAGTTTGGCAATTGGGTTATGGAGTTTTTTTTTTTGGAAACTCAGGCGAATTGTTTCTAATCGATAACATGCAATAAGTGGCCTGAGCTCCCCTGCAAAGTGTTCCGACTATAAAACGCTTATGTCTAACTTTTTTTCCTACTTCTCCTGATAAGAAGCCATAAAGTTGTATAGAGTGATTTGCTTGCTGTTTTTTTATTAGTCGTGATAACACATGGCAACGCGTTTTTTTGGTACTTTATATGATTTTCTATTCGAAATAATTTATCAATCGCGAGAGTCTATTATAATGATTATATAACCATAATTACGGGGAGAAAAGTAATGTTTATCTTTTTTTTTGCTTAGCAAAAATAAACAAGACCTCGTATCATTTTCTCATATTTTTCATTATTTTATCAAATATATTGAGATAAAGGTTTATCAGAGCAACACCACCAACCCCACCCCCCATTCTCGCAAAGTGAAAGGATTACTTTAGATTATACCTATCTGGAAAGGTGTTATGAAGATAAATATGTAAATAATTACACTTTAGATCAATAAAATAGCAAAGATTTTAACAGATTTTTCAGATCTCCTACAAAAAAAAAAAAAAAAAAATCAATTAAAAAGATCAGGGTATATCAAAAACACATGGGCTTTAGAAAAGAGAAAAATATAACATTATTCCAACAATTGCTCGTTTTAAAAAAAATTAGAAGAATCTACTATTTTTTTAATTTTTACAATTTGTAATAGCAAATTCCTTCCTTTATGCCACTATTTCAAAAGCTGAAAACTATGAAACCCTCTGTTTACATCCAAACGAAAGTTAACGGCAACTTGTAATAACGGCCCTAATGGCCATCTCTTTGTAAGGAGAATACTGTCACTCTCCAAAAAGGACGGCCGTTACTCTAACCATTTGTTGTTTGCCAAAGCTGATAACTATGAAACTAAAGAATAACAAAAAAATAACGGCAAATTGTAATAACGGCCCCTTTGACAATTTCTTTGGAAAGGAAATTTTGTGACTCTCTCTCTATTCGAAGATGAGCATTACTCTAACTTTGAAACTCTGAAAACTATGAAAATTGCCGTAAAATCCACGAAATAGTAAAATATAACCGTAACTTGTAAAAACGGTCATTTTACATTATATTTGTGAGATTTTTGAGAGCAATTGATCAGTGAAAATTTATCTCACTCTCCTAATTGATTCTCATTTACAAACCACAGGGATGGCAATGTGAAATGTTTTGAAATATCATTTAATATGTATTTCTGAGTGAAAAGCTCGCGAAATCTTTTAAAAATCACTTAAAATGTACTTTTAAGTGATTTTAATATCATTTTAAGAGAAAGCCTCGTAAAATCATAGAGTTTTATTAGAGTATTTTGAAAAAAAAAAAAAAAAAACATTACGAGACGTTTTTCCATGGACAAAAAGGCTGAACCGCTAAATTTTTTGGTATATTCAGGGCAATTCACATTCCATATTTTAAATATTTTTAATTCCAAAACTACACTCAAAAGTGAAAATGTAATTCTCAATCAGTTCAATAAACGATTTTATAATTTGGAAATATATTTTGCTCTTTAGCAATGAACATATAGATGAGTTATCGTGAAATTTTCACAATTTTTTCCAAGAAATTTTCAAAATAAAAGGAATAACAAACCAAAAATTTAAAAAAGATTTTTCAAAAAAAAAAAAAAAAAAAAAATGAGCGCTGACATAAAAAAAAGTAAAAATGCCGTCTATTTCTAAACAAAAATCATTTTTTTAAGAAAAAAATTTATCGAAAAATATTTTCAAAAATAGTGGATTGGATTTTTTTAAACATTTTTTTTAAAGCGAACTTTTTATAATTTTTTAAAAATTCTTTTGAAGAAAATTTTTAAAGCAATTAGTGAATAGATCAGTTATCGTGAAATTTTTATAATTTTTTCCCAAACATTTTTAAAATTAAAAGGAATAAAAAACAAAAATTAAAAAAAAAACGTTTTTTTCAAAAAAAAAAAAAAAAAAAAAAGAGAGAGGGCTGACTAAAACAAAGTAAAAAGGCCGTTTATTTTTTAAAAATCATTTTTTTTAAGAAAAATATTTTCAAAAATGGTGGATCGCATTTTTTTAAATATTTGTTTAAAGATAACTTTTTCTCTTTAATGAAAAATTGACCATGGATTTTTATAATTTTTTCCC